TTTCACATAAACACACACCCACGTAAACACCTCCACAGACGTGCCTCCACACAGAGCAAAGAAGAGATTTATGTCCATCCTTTGCAATCACACAAACAGTGATTGTACGACTGCTTGCATACATCTGATGCAGCAGTGTATTATTACCAAATAACCTAATGCTAAACATTTATGCCACACAAGAACAAATCTGTCCACTTAAAATTCCTCATTAATGTTGCTTCATATCTCCAGTTAACTTATACCTCTGATCTCTCCTTCAAAGTGCTCTCATACCGCTTCAAAGTCAAAAATCAGCAGGGAAACATGCAGTATAGATGATTCCCAGATTGAGCACTTGAACTACGCATCCACTTATTTAAAGTAACAACAGGAACAGCGTCTTCTGTCCTATAAGTAATGTGTGCATGTGTGTCCTTGCGTGATTGTTTATTTTCAATTGTTCGTGGGAATATTCGTATAATTGGTTTCCATTAATGCTCCAGTGATTATTTGGTTATGCATGTGTTCAATGAACCTATCAATCATTGCTAAATGCACATTACTACCAAAGGCCATGTTAACAAGACCAGATTGTCTTAGAATTTGAAAGACATTAATGTGTATCAAATTGAATGAATCGTTTTCTTTGAAATGCACTATTCTGGCATATCAACTGTTCACACTATGTGGCTATTTTTACTACATTACCAAGAATCACAGATAACTGCTTGTCTACCCACATCTTCCAGCACAGCCATGGATTAAGCATTGGGATGCTTCACGGTATCTGAAGACTAAAAGCAAATTCATGTTCGATGCCACTTCTGTAATTTGCATATAATATGCATGACCCTTTTTGAATGATCAGGCTTCTGTTCCTTTGGTGTATCAGCACCAAATGTTGAACTAAATGCATTTAATATAAAAATAAATTTTTATGATTCCAAAACTAAATAAAATAAATTAAAATGGCCATTGAAAATGTCAAATTAATAAATTTTTTGATACTTGGTATATTAGAAACCTGTGAAAGCCTGTTCCCGACACAAGATAAAAGAGTATCACAATTTGAACTTTTTTCTTGCAATATTTAGTTTATATCTTAGAATTTTCTTGCAATTATGAGATTTAAACTCTTAATTTTCTGAAAAAAAAATGTCAAAACTGTGAGATATAAACTTATAATTCTGAGAAAAAAAATCTGAATTGTGAAATATATACTCAGAATTGCGACGTGTAACATTGGAATTGTAAAATCGGAATAACAAGAAAAAAGTCAGAAAAAAAGAATTGTGAAACCTTTACAATCAATGTAATGATTTTGAAACACTGGCAGCCCTAATGAGAAAATGTTGAAATATATATATATATATATATATATATATACTATGGGGCCGTTGAATGCTTGAATCTGATTGGCTGACGAAAGTTCTAAGGTGTGCAATTATTTTCAGGGAAACGCACGATGAACGTAGTTCCAGGCAGGTCTTGACCATGTATACATGTCCGTATCACTTCGCCAAATGATTTCTGTTATTTCAAAGGTCCTTACAGCCTAAAACAGCAAAATAACCAAAACCCACAACGACACTGGACAAGCAAAGAAAACAATAGGATAAAAACGACAGATTATTTCCATGTTTTTGCCACAAAATTACGTTTTATTATGTACAGAAAGCACATACTCTATTTCTCTCGCTCTCTCTTTCTTAAAGACGCACACACATACAGTAGCTTACAGATACTTGCACACATGGAAACACACATGTGCTAACGTAGTTACCGCTACTCTGACGATTTTATCAATAAAATAATTTAGCAACTTAAAAGCTACATGACATTTTTCACAAGCGAGGTAACGGTGGCGCTGTATTAGTAGAGACGCTGTTGCCGAACACTGTTGAGAGACGCACAGACTCACAGAGGTCATTCATATGCTTAATCTCTCTCTCTCTCTCTCTCTCTCTCTCGCTCTCTCTCTCTCTCTCTCTAATAACTTCATTATTAACTGCATTGCTATCAATGGCTCAAGCCTCCATTGCTAGGTCTAAAATGACGTTTTGGAATTAGCAACGCAGGCATTGGAAGAGAGGCGTTAGAAATTAATCCTACACACAAGAGCATTTTAAGGAGAAAAAGCATTTTCCAAGGAAGAATGCCTTGGAAATATATCATCTGATCGATGTCTTGAGGTGTTAAATTACTGTGGAGCACTGGGATCGCTAGACGAGGGCTTCATGAACTCATTTTTGTGAAAACCTAAAATTCGAACAAAATTGACATTTTTTACTTGTTTTGCCTGTAGCTTATAATTAGCCCATGCACATTCTGAATCATTTTGCCAGCACAAGGTGTAAAGAGTAGCTGAAAACCATACTTGAGTAAAAGTACAGATACCTTACATTGAAAATTACTCCATTACAAGTTACAAGTCTCCAATTCCAAAACAACTTGAGTACAAGTCTTAGAGTATCTGATTTTAACAGTACTTAAGTATTTTACTTATACTAAATATAGGCTCAAAGATGCTATATATATATATATATATATATATATATATATACTGTATATATAACGTGTAGTTTTTGTTATAATCTGTGTTTAATCCAAACCTTCTCATTCTACAGAGGCCTGATTTCTTGACAGGCATTGACAGAGTAATCCAGCAATGGTCCACTGGTAAGTGGTAGTGGATAAGCTTGTGTTAATAAAACGGTTGGCTGTTAAATCACTGAGAAACACAGTAAAAGTGATGTACTAATGTTCGGTTCAGCCTAATTGAACACTGTCTTGTCAATGTATATTACAGTGAAAATTACTCCACTACACGTTACAAGTCACCAATTCCAAAACAACTTGAGTAAAAGTCTTAGTATCTGATTTTAACAGTACTTAAGTATTTTACTTATACTAAATATAGGCTCAAAGATGCATTAGTCAAACAGACATGCCTGTGAAAAACAAGAAAAAGTTGATTTGTGAGGAGAGCAATCATGTTAATTTTCTAAAACCAAAATAAAACTGAACACCTCAAAATTGAACAAAAAAACAAAAACAATATCCTTCAAAAAGGTCTCTTCAGTATTACGGATAAATACAATAATGTTAAGCAAAATTAAAAAGTCAAAGCCTTCTTGCACTAGATGTGCTGGTTTCGGCCTCGCAGTCATGTCCTCATCTCATATATATAAAACACCTGTGATTCACAACTACTTGCTAACAAACTCGCTTTCACGTAAAGTAGCCTTGTTGACAAGTTTGGGTGAGTAAGGGCAAAACAAACAAGATATAGTACATTTAATGCCCTGTAGTTGGCGATAACATTTCTTTTGTACCAGAAATAAACGGTTGCAGAAAAAGCTAGGTGCCATGCAAAATGTAATGTGTAATGCAACACTCATTACAAATGTAGTGGAGTAAAGATTACAGATACTTTGTACAAAATATAGTGAAGTAGAGAGTAAAAGTTTCTAAAAGCTTTGATACTCAGTAAAACTACAGCTTATCCAAAAAGATAGTCAAGTACAGTAATTAATTACATTTACTCTACACCTCTGCCTAATAGAAGGTTCTTAAAATGTCTGCAATTACTTTCCTGGCAAAGTCTCAAGGCAGTAATAGAATATGGTGGATGCAAAGAGCAGGCTTTAATTTCAAAGGTATGCTTAAGCAAACATCAAATATAAACTTTACATTCAATTTAACAAGTACTTCAAATGTAGTGTGTGTTAAATGGGTGTTGTAGTGGTTAAGGTCCAGAGCAGTTAACTGGAAGGTTGCTGGTTCAGCAAAGAGTGAGCCATGAGCCAACACCACCGTACCCTTGAGCACAATGCACATTACTACTAAAGCCCCTGAGCAAAGCACTTAAAGAAAACAGTTCATCCAACAAGACCTTCCACACCCATATGACTTTCTTTCTTCCTTAAAACCTATGAGGGCACTTTTGGGCACAATCTTTTTAATATCATGAAAGTGAATGTCTCTAAAGTACATTTACTCCAAATCTTACAAAGTCAATACAGCTGTTTTATGTGAAGAACAGAGGTTAATATTTTATAATACTTTTATTGTTATTTTGTGTCCATTTGAAGCTTGAAAGAATGGTATCTGGAGCTGTCAGGCTTCAAAAAGAAAACAAAAGCACCAAATATAAAAAAAGAACACAAATTGTATAATTGTATAAGCCATCTTATGAAGCCAAACGATGAAATGAATTTTTGTATAAGATTTTCAGTGAATAATGACTTCACGGTAACACTTAAGATACTTATAATATATAAGACTTATAATAAATAATATCAAATATGGCAGACAAGTTGTATGCACTACACTGTAAAATGATTTTTCAGCATAAATAAAACATTCGATTACATTTTACAAGAAAATACTATTTCAGGTTTTCTGCTTCAAAATTTCATGTTTAATTCAATGTGTTCAACTTACCCTTTCTTTGTAATTGTTTATGAAATTTACTAGCAATTACTGAGAGAAAATTGATCATTTTCAGCGTACTTTTATAATACATTAAAAATGTAAATGTAAACTTGTAAGATGTTTCTGTCACTTTTATGTCTTTTTTTAAGCTTAAAATCATCTGTCCCCATTCATTGTAATTGCATGTAAAAACGCGACCAGCACATTATTAAAAATGCCTCTTTTTGTGTTCTACAGAAGAAAGGAAGTCATTCAGATTTGGAATGACATTAAGAAGAGGAAATTATGACAGAAAATTCATTTTTGGATTAACTATCCCTATAACCCCAGATCCAAGGGAATTTCCCCTGCATTAAGTTTGTGGTTGCTGTTCCATGGAGATATTGTCAGAAAGCCATGGTTATAAATAAAGATCCAAAAGTTACAGATTTATGGAAACTGTACCTTATTATGTTACGGTCTTCTTAGAATGAATCACTTGTTTTGTAGCTATGGTAAGTGGTTTTAGATAAAAAGCATCTGGTAAATGAATAAATGTCAGTTTAATTCAGGACTGTCATGAAACGCACTGACTCGCCTACCTGCAGTGCACATCCAGGCGGCAGGTGTTGCGCAGCTGAAGACAGTTGGGTTTGGTCTTGTCCTGATAGGAACAGGAGGGTACAATGGTCTGTCTCCTCCTCTCAGCACAGGCCTGGTCCTTACAGGAGCAGAAGAGCAACCCGTAGCTGTGTTGTGTGTCAACACGCTCAAAGAACAGACGCAAGGCCTTATGGCAGCGCTTTCTGTTGCAGCTGTCCTGCGACTGAGGCTGTGAGGGTTGCTGGCCCTGTGTCTGCGCACGGGTGCAGGTGGAAATGTAGTTGGAACGCTGACGCTTGCAGTTTTCATTCAGGTTGCAGGCTTTGGTGGCGTCCAGACAGGGGTTGCATGGGCGGCTGGGATCTGAGCAGTGTGGCTGGCCTTTACTTGTGCCAGACTGTATGCCTATGAGAGGAGAGCAGGAAAAGATAAGTGAAATTGAACGCAAGGGTGTTTGTGAGAATGATATAAAGAGAGCGAGAGGGGAATTGAGAGTGGGTGTGCATAAGAAAAAAGAGACCATGAGTTGCACTGTCCTACATACACTCCTTGTCAGATGAATAGGACAACTCCAGCAGAACAATTAACTCTTAGATCTGTCAGTGTCCCGATTGGGACGCTTTCAGAACACACACACACACAGATGTTGGTACACATATAATAATTATGGAAACTTTCCATAGGCATCCTTTTTTTTTTTATACTGAGCGAATTATAATTTCTATCCCCAAACCATAACCCCACCCTAAAAAAAAAAAAAGTGTTCATTTAGTAATTTGAAGCTGAATTTTCAGCAGCCATTACTCTAGTCTTCAGTGCCACATGATCCATCGGAAATCAGTCTATAATTATGATTTTGGCTCAGTTGTTATCAATTATTATTAGTGCTCAATTATTAATGGTTCTTATTATTATCAATGATGAAACCCATTTTTGCTGTGAACGTATTTATTTATTTATTTACTTTCCCAAACTTTATATATGTATATCATGATTTCCACAAAAAAATTATTAAGCAGCAAAAACTGTTTTCAACATTAAAATAAATGAATCACTTAATTTTTAAAATATATAAAAATAGAAAACAGTTCTTTTAAACCATAATACTATTTCACAATATTACAGTTTTTTACTGTATTCTCATAAAATAAATGTAGAAGTCAAGCATTGATTTTTCAACCCGAAACTTTTGTTTGTATAAAAACATAATATTGCACTCAAAATGTGCAATTTCCGCTGTGGATAATCCCATGTAATCCCGACCTTTTGCTGAACAAGGTCCTGACAAAAGAATGGCTATGAATCATTAGCTGTACCCTTGCTAAAACTGAAAAATGTTTAAATGTATTATCTAAAACCCTACTGAAACCTTAGCATTACTGATCCCTCAAGTGGTGTGTATATATACTGTAATAGTGTACAGTACAAACGACTGATAAGTACATTCAAGATAAAGAAAGAGTGTGAAAAGGGAAACAAGGGCATGAGTCCAGCTGTGCGACGTCTGCAAGTGTTGTGTTGAAGGCAGCTGAATGAAGCGTTCAGGGGATTGGGGAACTATCAGCTGGAGACTGTGGGGAAGTTCCGGACCTCTAAAAGTGTATGAAGGTCGGCACTGATATGTTGCCCTAATGGCGTCTCCAGCCTTGACTGCAGCTCTGGTGATTGGAGAGAGAGAGGGAGTGAGAGAAACTAATAAAACCCAGTGGGTGTTGGTATAACTTTGAGAACAGATGGTTTATCAGACCCCTTGTGGAGAGTAAAAGATGAATTTCATTCCGAATGGGTTTTTGTTACTTATGAATAAAGTGCTAATGATCTAAATGTTGAAACTGTTTACTCTAAATGAGTGGAAATATAATATTTATGTAAATAAAAAGGCAGTAGGCATATAAATTACCTTGTGTTATGGCAGCAAAGGACTCAAAGAAACAGGGATTTTCATGAAGTCCTTTGAAGATATTTTGAGACTGATTGATATTAATAACTATCTTGATGTTTGTAGGGAGTTATCTTGGTTTCAGAGAAGACATCGTTGCTCAGAGGTCATGTTTTTACAAAGTAATGATTAATAACGCATGTTCAGAAGCCTGTCATTAATAAGACATGGAAATGTTTACATCAACCACATCCTTCCTCATTAAAGACAGGCCTCATCTGTGTTACAGATTTATATACTTTATGTAGAGATGAGATCTGCACTTGTGATTTTACCCTCAGCATGCCTGCTAGATGCAAATAAAAGGATCTTTCAGACATTTTATCATGAAACAACACAGATTGCCTCCGAGCTCAAGTATCACTATAGTTAAATACAGGGGGGACTCCTGCATGCAATCATACAATTCAGAGCAAGTGAAATCAATGCATGAAGCCTCCCTTTCTGTTAACCTCACTCCCTGAGCTTTTTTAAGCTTAAAAATATTCACTCCCCAAGGACCAAAAACCATAGATGTACATCTACTGATTCTCTCTGAATTTGAAATAAATTTGAAACTGCACCAAATCTTTTGAAAATACAACTACACCAAATCTTTTTTATTCAATAAATAAATGTAACACATTTATCTAATATAAAAGTATATATTATGTATGTGTGTGTGTGTGTGTGTGTGTGTGTGATATTTATGAATAATTCTTAATATATTGCTATTATTATTATTCTATGTGTGTGTGTGTGTGTGCATACTGTACAGTAATTAATAAGTAATAATGCATATAATAATAATAATGCAATTAATAATGCATATTAATATTGTTTTGTTTAGATGTATTTTCCCCCCAGAAGACAAGATAATAAAAATATCAACTAAGAACATTATTTTGCAGTGCAATCTATGGCTATTTAGACTGAGATGACATAACTTCGTAAAGGTATCTTGTAATTGGTGCAATCCTGTGTTTCCATAATAATAATAATAATAATAATAATAACACTCTAAAAGTTCTTTCCCTCAGTCGACAAAAGCCATTTGCAATGATCTGAATGCATGGCAGGCAAAGGTTACCCGGATCTAAAAATACTGTGTGGTTTTAGAGTGTCTCTAAATTTGATTCAGTAGTCCTCAAGCTCTCTTGTTGTGTGTGTGTGTGTGTTTGTGTGTGTGTGTTTGCGAGAGAGCAATTTTAGTTGTGTCTCACAGTGGAGGAAGAAGCCGTAAATGAGGTATGAAATTGGTTGTTGAGAATGTACATTAAAAAAACGTCCAGTGTCTGGAGGTCAGAGGACGCTGCAGCACAGACTGCGCTCTGCATGCACAAGCATTTGCTTGGTTAAAGAAGGGATAGGAACTAAACAGAAGCAAACAGGACAAAATATTGGGAGATGTTCAGATATCCTGCAATATTTTATAGACAGAGGTTTGCAGCTGTCCAAAAGTTCACAAGAATAGTGGTGCAACTGTACAGTGAATTCAAATAAAAGGTTTCTTACATTCAAATCATGGCGACACACTGAATTTTATTTGAGAGAAATATAGAGCCATAAACCTGTTCTGGACATCTGCGGAAGACCATTTGGGCCACAAAAATAAAGGAAATAAAAATAAAAAGGATTTACCGTTTTTTCCTTTCTTTTTTTCCCTCTTAGCAAGAATGCTGAATTGAGCACAGCCTGTAGAACAAATTATGACCAAAACTACCCTGCTGGTAGCTCACAGTTCACAATTTATGTCTGATAACCAGTATAATTTGATGAACTAATTTGAGTTTGTAAAGCATGCGGGTTTAATGTGCAAATACTCGCATACAGTACCTACTAAACTGGTGTAGGATTTACTTTTACACTATTTTCACTCAAAAATTGCAAGTACATTTCACAAATAACTATAAAGAAATGACAAGTGGCACATCAAATGTGACATTTTGAAGTAGAAAGCCTGAAATAGTATTTTATTGTGACACGTATTCTAATAATTTTGGTTTTATTTACAACTTTACTCTAATAATCTTTGTTTTATTTACAACTTTGAAAAATATTTTTTACAGTGTATAATAATCACTCACAGGCATATAATGTGAATAATATGCCGATTTGTGTAACGTATGGCTGAAGGGACAGCAGGTTCAGTCTGGGTCATTCACAGCTTTTGGCACTGCCTGTGTTGATTGCAATTAGGAGAAGTGCCACAATTTAGATGTAATCTCCTCTGAGGTGCGTGAGCTCGTTAGAAAGTCTTTAGCTTCTGCTGTTGCTGCGAGGAGAATGGGAAGCCTTTCTTTACTTCTCATTACTCATTTTCTCCTTCTATTATAATACTTATTGGGAGATAGAGGAAGAGGGAGAAGCAGCGATAGAAAGAAAGATTCAAACTTTTTCAGTCTGCTATACAGAATGGGTCCCTGAAATTCACTTATAATATTAGTAAAAACAATTATATAACAGAAACCTCATAATATGCTTTTTATTACCATTTTCTACCCTCCTTTTGACCTTTTGACCCTTTGAGGA